TGTCAGGTCAGTCCTTGTATCAAAGTCTTCCCTGCGCTATTCAGCACCTTTTGTATGTATGAGAATGCACATTGTCTGTCGAGATTCTACTCGCACTGCATTGTCCATTCTGTCCTTTTCATCACATTKCAGATCCTCGGTTATTACGTACATGGCATATCTGTGCATGTAACAGTTGGTATCGGAGCTTTGCACGTGAATCAGGCCAACCTGATCTGACACGTGTGCGGGGACTACGTAGCTGGTCAGTCCTTATTGATTGATTAGAGCACAGCAGTTAGACCCCAAAATCACGATTTTGACCTCACTACCGAAAATCGATTTTTTCTTTTCTTTTCTTGGATTTTATTTTCTCGCTATTCTGTTGTGGAAAATCGCAAAATCGCAACATCTGAAATTCCCATTTTCGTTTTTCCTTCTGAAAATTTGAAATTTCACTGTTGAAAATCCGGAATATTTTTCTTTTCGAAAATTTCGATTTCCTGTTGCATTTCCCGTTACTTAGAAATTCGGAATATTTTCTTTTCTGAAATTCGTTTTCTGAAAACGGTACGGGAAATACCTCCTGCAGTACTATTTTCCAAACTGCGAATATTCTCATCGGAATGAATCCGAATATTTGCCATTTCTGTTCGGATTTTTTTTCGCAGTTCTGGGATTCTGTCGTTCAGTTCGATAAATCATTGGCAGTCTAAAGTTGAAATTGTTCTTTCAGTGATCATTTCGCACTGTAAGGGAGGTTGGGAGACCTACCGAACTTGCAAAAATCGGGATTTTTTTATTTTTCTCGAAATTTTATGCAGAGTTCAAACTTATCTTGTTTGATTAGTGGCTCCTTATCTAAGTGATTGGTCGGGCGATTATCCCACCCACCCCTCCCCACCTATGTTGTTGCCATCTCTCGCCTTTCCGTTTCTGTTGGTATCCGGGTACCCCCTGCGGCGGCATTGGTGAGTTGCCACGTCAGCAGGCTACGTCAGCAGACCACGTCAGCAGGACACGTCAGCAGCAAGGGATACCACATCAACAGGCCCCCGCCCGGTCTATGCTGTTGCGATCTCAAACAGCAGTCATGGACCAGAGGCCCGGGGAAGCAGACGAGGCCTATCAGGCCCGCATGCTGTCCTGGAGTACCGAGACAAAGAAACGGGCAGATGACGCTGCAGCAGCGGCGAAGAAGAAGGCCGAGGATGCCGAGCAGGCACGTCTACTGGCTCTTGAACAACAGCGCCAGCATGACGAGGCAGCAACAAGGGCTGCCGATGAAGAAAGGAACCAGCGTCGCGAGAAGATATTTATCGGAGAGCGGGCGTTACTGACAATGGCAGCGGAATGGCGAACCGAAGCGGAGGATGGCAAGTTGGAGGATAACGCAAACAAGATCACGCTCCTCCTCTCGCACCTCACAGATGTCCTTGCAACCTGCATTACACAACAGGCGGAGATTCTCGGTCTCGACACCTCGCTAGCTCACGTCCAAGACCGCCTTCAGCGGTTGGAGCAACGACCAGTCGCCGCCGCCGACACAAGCTCTTCCAACACTGCCGACCGCCTCAGTGCATTGGAGATGGACGTCGGCTCACTCAAGGATGGCGTGCAATTACAGCAGACCGCGACGCAACAGTTGCAACAGCGGATCTGCACTACCGCCACCACCTCGAGTTCAGAACCTCGCAAGACAAATCCAAAGTCTGACGGGCAGGAGATCTTCTGCGACTCAATGAAGACAGATCCGATTCCATGGTTTCGCAAGTTCGAGCTCACGTTGCAGCTCCACAACGTCAAGGAACTCAAGCACCACGCATACTTGTACTCTCGCTCAGGGGGCGCGTGTCAGGCTTGGTTGGACAACTTGTTGTCCAAGTACGGAGTGGTAGCCAACGACTTGCACACCAAGATCAGTTGGGATGATCTGAAGGCGGCGTGGCATAAGCGGTTCCAGGTGGAGCCGCCGGAGATCAAGGCCATGGACAAGCTCATGATCTTCGAGCAAGGCGCTTTGCCGAGTACGGACTGGATGGCCGAGTACGAACGCTTGACGTCAGTCCCAGACATCCAGATGGGCTTCAAAGCCATCCGCCATTACTTCATCTCAAGGTCATGTCCGACATTAAGCAATGCCCTGACACATGTTGAGGACACCTTGACGACGACGGCGGCATTGTTTGACAAGGCCGCACAAATCATCATGACGAACAAGGAGGCCAAGAACCTTCGTTCATCTGCGTCAGGCCCGAGCAGGGACCAGCATCGACCAAGAGTGGCCGTGGTCGCAGCGGCAACGCCGTTTGACCAATCCAGCGAGGCTGTGTCTGCTAGTGAAGGGGACAGACTCGCAGCCGCCCGGGAAGGTGGCCGCCCTGGCAGAGGCCGAGGACGCGGCAAGACGAAGACACACACCGCATCTAGCCCCGGGCCCGGTGCAGCAGCTCAGGTAGGCCCATGGTCCCAATATGGCATCTCCGAGCAAGCATTCAAAGCACGCGAGAGATTCCATTATTGCCTTTGGTGCAACAACGATCTTCATCAGACGCAGGTCTGCCCATTGAAAGGCAAGGGCAAACAGGGAAACTGAGCACCGCCGAGAGTGACTCGACGACACACTCGACGTCTTCGGAACCGGTTTCTTCGCGAGTAACCGGCCTTCATTCCGAGGCGCACGCGGAAGTCGATAGTCCTCCTCTTCTACTTTCTTTCGAGGACTATGCTGCACGGCTCGTTCCTACGCTGGGTACTCAAGCTCAAGGACAAGAAGTGTGTGCGGTTTCTTCTCCGTCCGGCAACGGCGACATATCGTCTTCAAGTGGTTCTTCACGGTATTCAGCACGCGAGTTCAACATAGAGGCATTGGACCCGCTCACGTCCGAGGACTTTGCATGGCTTCCTCTCCCGATCACAGGCCGCTTGTCGGGACCGCAATGTGCAACACTTAGCGCTCATCTCCACACTTACTTATCCTTCTATGCACCACCAACTTCGCCGGCGGATGACGAAGTCGCGGTGGGGGACATTCTGGCGTATACTACCAAGGTGGCCCGCGAGTTTCGCACGCAGCGGTACGATGACAACAACGCACCGCTCATGTATGTCCGCATTCAGGTTGGGCAAGCGTCCTGTAGCGCTTTGCTGGATAGCGACGCGTCTCGCAATTTCATGAGCTAGTCCTTTATGCAAAAGGTTGACCTTGGCGCACAAGTTCGGAGGAAGGCAAACCCGACGACGATCAAGTTGGCGGATGGAAAGACGCAACAACTTCTCGACCGTTACATCGAGGCCGTACCGGTCTACTTCGCACCTCATGCATGCGAACCGGTGACATTCGATATTCTCGACACGGACTTCGACATCATTCTGGGAATGCCTTGGCTTGCAAGTGCGGATCACACGATCAACTTCCACCGGCGGACTCTTAGCGTTCGCGACGTCTTCGGCGTGGAAGTGGCATGTACTATTCCTCTACCGCACCCTTCGATCCGGTGCCAAATCATTCCGGGCGACTTGCGCTTACGAGCAGCCCGAGGAGATCAGCCTATGTTTTCTACGGACCGTCGCGGTAGCCGACTCTTCACCCACGGACTTGTCTACGGACCCCCGTGTGGTACGGTTGTTGGACGAGTTCGCCGACATCTTTGAGTCACCTACCGGTGTGGTGCCGGATCGGCCGATCTCTCACGAGATCATTCTTGAGGCTGGTGCCGTGCCGCCGAAAGGTTGCATCTATCGGATGAGCGAGGAGGAACTTGAGGTCCTCCGCACACAACTCGACGATTTGTTGGCCAAGGGTTGGATCCGCCCTAGCAGCTCCCCATATGGAGCACCAGTTCTCTTCGTCAGGAAGTAGAACAAGGATCTACGACTATGTATCGACTACTGCAAGCTCAACGCGCAAACCGTGAAGAATGCGGGGCCTCTTCCTCGCATCGACGATCTTCTTGAGCGATTGGGCGGCGCAAAATATTTTTCCAAGTTGGATTTGAAATCAGGATATCATAAAATCTCGATCCAGCCGAACGACCGCTACAAGACCGCGTTCAAGACGCGGTACGGGCATTTCGAGTGGGTGGTCATGCCTTTCGGCCTCACCAACGCCCCGACGACCTTTCAGGCGGCAATGACCAATGAATTTCGTGCAATGTTGGACCGGTTCGTGCTGGTCTACTTAGACAACATCCTCGTCTACAGTCGGACATTGGAGGATCATCTTGGGCATCTTCGACGAGTGTTGGAAACGCTCCGCCGCGCCAAGTACAAGGCCAACCACGACAAGTGTGAATTTGTCCGGCAAGAGCTGGAAAACTTGGGGGCCATTTCGTCACACCGGAGGGCATCAGTCCGCTATCGGACAAGATTCAGGCCGTCCAAGAGTGGCCGGAGCCTCGGAACGTCACAGATGTCCGCTCGTTCCTCGGTCTCGCCGGCTACTATCAGCGCTTCATCAAAGGCTACTCGAAGATCGCGGCCCACTTGAACAAGCTTCAATGCGAGGATCGACCGTTTGACTTCGGAGCGGAGGCACGGGGATCATTCTTCGCTCTCAAAGCCGCGCTATTGTCTGCGGAGGTCTTGCGGATATACGACCCGCTCTTGCCTACGCGCGTCACTACGGATGCGTCAGGCTATGACATTGGTGCAGTCCTCGAGCAACATGACGGTGTGGACTGGCACCCAGTCGAATACTTCAGCAAGAAAGTGCCCATCGTGCATTCCATTGATGATGCACGCAAGAAGGAGCTCCTCGCCTTCGTCCATGCGTTCAAGCGATGGCGGCACTTCCTCCTTGGTCGAAGCCAATTTCGTTGGGTAACGGACAACAATCTGTTGGTCTTTTACAAGACCCAAGACACCGTCAACAGCACCATCGCTCGATGGATGACTTTCATCGACCAGTTCGACTTCTTTCCCGATCACATTCCCGTGAAGTCGAACCGTTTTGCGGATGCTCTTTCAGGGCGTCCGAATCATTGTACCGCGGTCTACTCAACCTTCGAGATCGACGACGACCTGCGGAACAGTTTCATCCGCGGTTACCAAGCCGACCCCGAGTTTCGCGACAAGTACGGGAATTGCTCCTCTCCTAATCCGGCTCCTTCTCGCTACTGGATCCAAGAGGGGTACTTGTCCACACGCGGGGGAAGGACCTTCTTTGCGTACCAAGTGATCCTCACTTGCGTACACGACTTCTTGGCGAGTTCCACGGTGCTCCCGCCACCGGACACTTTGGAGTCAATCGCACGATTGGCCGACTTCGCCAGCGATTTTGGTGGCCCGGCCTTCTCGGCGACGTCACGCGCTATTGCGAGTCATGCGAGGTTTGTCGACGCTGCAAATCCCGCAACCATCGCCCGTACGACGAGTTACGACCATTGTCAGTCCCGTTGAGGCGAAGGGAAGCTATTGCCATGGACATTACCGGCCCGTTCCCCAAGCACAAGTCCGGAGTGGATGGGATTCTTACGGTGGTCGACCGACTCACCAAGTTCGCCATGTTTTTGCCTTGTCGCTATCACGCCAAGGCACCGGAGTTGGCCGAGGTTCTTTACGCCGGTTGGATTCGAACCAAGGGTTACCCCAAGGAGATCGTCTGCGACCGTGACATTCGGTTTATGTCCGATTTTTGGTTGGCGCTCATCAAGCGATGGGGCTCATCTCTCAAGCCCAGTTCAACTCGCCACCCTCAGATCGATGGCCAGACGGAGAG